TTCTCCATAAATCTGTGTGGACATACTCCCACAGCCAAGTAATATTTTTCAGTGCAGATGAAGTTTGCCACAACATGGAGATATTCTGTGCTATGATTTTCTGTGGAACTGTGTCTTTTTTCCCCATTTTACTCTAATCCATGTTTTATGCACCTCTAACACATCCCCTGTGACATCATGCTTTCAGGTTACCACCGTCAGTTGTTGTTAAACCTAACTTAGGGCTAAGTGAGAACCAAAATCAGTTCAAGACCTCAAAGACCAGTGCTCCAAAGGGACCAAGATCTGAAGTATACATCTGCCTTCCCAAGAGGCAAACCCTGTCTTCCCATGCTAGGTTGCTGTCTGTGGGAGGATTTTTCATCTCATGGAGGAATGAAAATCCAAACCTGCCCAGAAAATAAGCCTGCAACTGATAGGCATAGAAACAGTTTCCCTATCAGGGAACAGCAAGAGTGATGCTCTGCATTGTCGGAACGTTCTGCTGTGTGCATGGGGAAGCTGAGTGTCACTTCCCCAAGGACAACACTTCTCTTTTAGGAGCTTGTCCTGCAGTCTGCAATCTCTTCAAATGGAAAAGTGGATCCCAGCGGGTTGAGAAAAAATGAGCTTCTTGCCCACCTTAAGAGCCAGATTCAACACTGAAATTTTGATATCGAGAAAGGCTGAATGTTGTTGTTTTTCTATAAGTCTTTACTTTCACTGAGCACTGTTTAAAATGCTACAGTTCTATGTCTGGACAGAAAATCAAAATGATGGAGGACACTTCAAGATCAACAATAACTTTGCTTTATAACTTTGCCATTGCTTTATCAGAACCACTGCTAAAAAAGAATGATTCTTCATACTGGGCTGGGTGGATGTAGTACTACCAGCACAAATGAGTATATTCTCTTATGTCTTTTATTCTGGCTACAGAATGATTATACAAAAGCAAAGGGTTCCTACTGACTTAAGTCAGGATTGTGTGGGGGTGTAAGGGTGTGCCTTCACTGCCTTCACACAGTTTACAGGTCAGTGGCCAGAAAACCAACTCAACACTTCTCTGTATTCATTAACAATTAGATAAACCAGTAATAAGTTCATAATTGCAATTCCACAAGGTAATTTCATGTGCCCAGGAGATGACAATATGCATGCAATTAAAAGAAGAAAGCTTTTCATCCCTGCAAACTTTTATCACCGAATGCTCCGTCATCTATTTGCCGCATGCAAGCAGAAGGGAGGCCAGGGGTCACCCTGAGCTCGGTGGAGGTACCACGAGGGGAAGCAGAAATCCTGCTGTAAATTCACCGAGTTCAGCTCAACAGAAAATACGGAAACGCAGCTCTCTGACCTGTCAAGCAATTATCAGCTTTTCGGTAATATGCAAGTGGAAATATCTTGGGATAAGGTTCTTAGGCCTTGTATAACAAATAGGGTATAAAAATCCCTTTATCCTGACCATCTTTGAAATTAAAAAAGCAGCTCAATTTCTGAATTACTACACTTAAGCTGTCTCTCAACTTTCTTTTTTCCCCCGACAGCTTTAAATCTCTTTGTGGGTGGAGGTCTAATGTCAGCACATGCAATTCTATACTTTAATCATTTTTTAACTGTAAGATCAAAGTAAGTAGGTTTTTATTACTCCAGTGTCCGATGTTTCATAACTTAACTATTGAATGCCAGGCAATAGGTCTCAGTGCACTGCTTTAAATCATTCCAGCCACACACATTTTCCACCAAGAGATGTATTAAAGGAAAAAAAAGAGTATCCTAATAATCATTAGATATGAAAATTATTAGCAGTATGAATAAAATATCACAACCTTGTTCCTACGCTGACTCTGGGGCTGTGAGAGCAGTGTACTATTCAAGAAGAAACCCAGTGGCAGACTGCGTTAGCATCTTCATCTCATTTTCTTTTCCAACTCTCCTTCTCTTTCATTACTCCCACACAGGAACTCAGTGAAATTAATACCTGGCTCTCAGCCAGATTGTGAGCACCCCTATGGTGTGACCTCTCTGGCCATAACACACGAAGAATGAAGGCATCTTTCACCCCTCTGCTATCTATCCATCCCTAAATGTGCCTGAATCCTGTCTATGCTACCGGTGTCACTCCATTGCTCTGGCTGTGGGAATTCCTCCCATACTTGAGATGCTGCCTCACTCCCATGGATGGTATCACAGGGATAAGGTTTTCCAGGATAACTGCATGCTGCTTTCATTGACACTACTGCCTTCAAATTTGGAATAGTAACTGCAAGCCAGGGCAATGTTGTGATTGCTCCTTTATATTTCTGGAGAAAAGATTTCACTTCAGATACATTCTGATATATTAACATGGCCAGTGCTCACAGGAATGTGACACAACATTGCCTAGCAGCCCAGAAAAATTGCAGTGGCACCTTACTGTGACCATATTTTAAGAAATATTATTTGAATTTTGGGGGATCCTATGTGAGGAATTGGATTTGATGACTCTTGTGCGTCCCTTCGAGTTTGGCATATTCTGTGACTCTACGATGCTAAGCCCAGAGCTACAAATTTCAGTACACAAACCACTCTGGATGGACATGCCATCCTGCTGATGCTCACCATTCGGCTGCTCCATGTGCACATGGGTTCATCGGGCTGTGCTTCCACATGAGCAGAACACGCTTGAAATCCTCCCAAGTACTTCTCTGTCACAAGCTGTTCCAATTAAGAAAGTATGCAATAATACCCCTAATTACATTTTACTTTGATGAGAGATCTAGGCTTTTTTTTTCTTTTCTTTTCTTTTCTTAAATGTATGTTGTATAGGGTTAGGAGAACCTTCATTTCCATTCTTTGCATACTTTGGCATCAGCCATGTCTCTGCCCGACGGCAGGCTCAGGGCCCTGCAGGGGCACGTGCACCTCTCAGCTCTGGGTTTGGGGTACCAGGCACTGGCAGAGCAGTGCAGGCTGCGCTCTGCTGACTCAGCCCTGCTTCAGCATTCCCAGCATAAGAGGTATCCTGTACTCACAAGGGGTTGGGGTCTTGCTGCAAAATTTCTCCCTTGGCACCATCAGGATCCAGCGAGTGCTGAGCGGGAGATTTATATTTTGTTGATTACAATGGTAATCAGCCACAAACACAAACTCAAAGAGCAAGATTCAACCAAACACATGTTCTCTTTGAGCGAGATAAAATCTCTGCCTTTTACACGCCTATCTATTGATGTGTTCCTGGATAAAATGTGTAATTTTAATTAACTGAAAGTACAGGCTTTTTCATATTGGACTTGGTGCTTAAACCGAAATCATACAGCAAAAACCTCAAGCTGGCTGAATGCATGAGAGATCTTACTTTGTGCTGAAGAATTGGTATGTGTGCCACTCTCCTCTCAATCAATATGCATTAGTGTGCAACTGGTGACTACGGAAACATCCACACCACTTGGCTCATTCTCTTGCCAAGCATTGATGTGTTCAGCTTCTTAGATGCAAGTTACACAAAGAAATTTCAGCTATGGGGAATGCAATTATTGCTAAGAAAGAGAAAACCTGAAAATAAATTCGGCAGTACAATACTAAAGCACAAGGAATTAGATTCTTAATTGTAACTGTTCAATATTATTCTAGTACAAAACATTTTTCTGTTATATAAATTACCACATCAAAACTATCTCCCTCCTTTTAACCCTCGTGTATGTAATCATGGATGAAGGTGCAGATACTGTATTTATCATGTATTTCTCAAGAATGTTGTGCTTTTGTTGGCTCTCAGGATTATTTAGTCAGTAGAGATCACTTGATTGTACCAAAGAAGAATTTTAGGTCAGGAATTTACAGTTACACAGAACCTAAACCACGAGCCAATGGCATCATATTAGTGCTAACTTCTCATCTCCATCCAGCCCCAGGTCTCGGGCGGCCCTTCCTGGATATCCTCTGTTGTCCCTGCCCAAGGCTTCTGCCATCTCACTCTCTCTTTTGACACCACCCTGTTGTTTGGCTACTGAGCCCTGTTGTTTCTCTAATGAGATCAAGGATTTTGCCAAGTCCTGTTCCTTCCACTTCTGTAGCATATTTCAAATTCCTCCTGCCCTCTCTATCTCAAAATTCTTGGCTCTGTATAACTGTTTTATTTTGGCTGCTGGAATCCCATACTAACCTAACCAGATTTATGCTGGCAACACACATCTTTGTTACCACGTCTGTTTTTCCCTGGGCATATCTTTGTTTACCTAGTCTGGTGGTGGTGGAACCAGTACAGTAAAACTCAGTGTATAGACACTTAGGAAAATCCATGACTGAGTCTTTAAAACATATAGAAGTGCCACAAAACAGAGCTGAGGACGTAGCTTAACTCAGAACTCTGGTTTTCTTTGTGTTTTGTTTCTTTCTTTCAGGCCCACTTTGCACACAGGTGAATGCCCATGAGCAACTGTCTCTTGGTAATAGCAAACATGATGCAGAGACTCTCAGATTCTTCCATTAAAGCTGATTGAATTAGGCTATTGCAGCTAATAATGTCTGTTAATTACATCAGAGGATCACTAGTTTAATGTACACTGGTAGATAAATGTAGATGCTGATATTGGTGATGGCAGTGATAAAAATACAACAACACAAATGCATTCTCATCTGCTGCAAATCACTTCTTCCTCTATAAACTTTCCCAGTATTTCAAGTAAAATTCACCTTCAATTTTAGTTAGCAAACCTTTAAGTAAAGCTCAGATAACATTCATCCCATGACCATTTCTATCAGTATTTTCCTCCTGTTCTGGCAGATCACCCAGAACACTGACTATAACAGCTTTCCCATACACAAAATGTGCTAGATCGCTTTCATTTCAGAGTTTCTTCAGTGGCTTACTAAAAGACAAAGTTCATCTTATTTTTAAAGCTTTTTATAAGACCCGTTTTGGCTGAACTTGGAAAATGTGACTATACAATGGGAAAGGGCAGACCCTCTTTCTTTTTTTTTTGTATGAACACAATGGCAGGATAAGGGAGGCACCGCGCATTGCAAGGAATACACTTTAATCAAGTTGCCCAGCACCAAATATTCATCTCCTACCACTCTAGATGCCAATGTTTGTTTTCTGTCTGGGAGAAGAAACAGACAGCACTTTTCACTTTAATAAAAATCTTTCAGAATGAAGCAAACAGATGACCTAATTTGGAGGATCTGCTGCTTTCCTTGGTTTGCCCGTGACTTAGGAGGTAAGGATGACTGCAGCGTCTCTCCTTACAGCCTTGCTGGAGCAGATTTAACACTTTCTTGCTCAGTTAGCTGCTGAGACACAGGAGAACAAATCTGACAGCACTGGGTTCGACACTCCCTTCAGCAAGGGACTTACTCCCTTCTACAACTCCTACCAACAACATCACTGTTACTAACTCATACTGCTTGCATGGAGTGGGAGCTGCAAAACATGCTGCTATGACTAACACTTCAGGATGGAAGGTGGAAATCTAGCTTCATTAAACACTCGCAGACGCTTGCTAGTACTACTTGTGCAACTAAAATCAGGACTTCATATTCAATCTCACAGCAGTCCCGTTCTCTAGTACAATAGTATCCAGTGCTGTAAGTTTTAAGGACATCGTCACAAGCTTTCTGATAGGTTTCCTTAAATTCCCAGCTCCTACAGTGGACATCCAAGTATATCATGACAAAAAAGCATGAACACAGGGAAAACTTATCTTTTACCTAAATAATTCACTCCCAGCCTTCAAGTTAGCAGGAAAATATAAAAGTCTTGATTTGCAGTGCAGAAAAACTGAAATGCTTATTTATTTATTTTGAATTGTCATTATAGCATGGCCAATCTCCAGGACTCTGGGGCTCAAGTGTTACGTTTTTAATATTGGTAGCTGACAGTGGATATGAACAACACTGTAGGGCTGCAAGCATCTTATCTTCTATGCACATAGCATCTGGAACAGCAGAGATGACTTTGTGATCTGCGACCAGGTAGAAACAACAGCCTGAAGAGTCCTGCTCTTTTCATGGATTCATCTCCTTCAAAGCCAGATCTCCTGCTCTTTTCTTCCAGCAGAACTTAATGCCCCAAAATCAAGAAGAAGGGGTAAGAAGAATGCTGAAGAGGAAGAAACATGAAACCTAAATCCTCCATTTCCTACATCACACCCTGTTGCATGCTGAAAGAGCATTCCTGTTGTCACTGAGCTGCAGGTAGAAAAGACATCAGTGCTGTGTGCTGTCGTGAGATCCTGTGCTAGGAGTGGAGGAAGAGGAGAAGGGAGGTAGTGGTGTACTGGAACCAAAGTGTTTTCTCCCCATGTAAATCCTTATCAGCTGTGCCTTGCACAGCCCCACACAGCCACCACTTGGTGGAATTTGCAGAGTTGTCCACAAACTTCCAAAAAATATAGCATCAACTATCAGCCAAAAGGAGATGGATTCTCTTGGAAGCTGTGCTCTATTGGTGAATCATACCCACTGGTGGAAATACATGTTTTATTTCTCATTCAACCTTGGACACTATACCACTGTTTTTTGCTACTGCGACGTAATAGAGCATCTCCCTGTAAGGATTTTGCATTAGGCAAAAAACATGCATACATAGGTAATACTGCAATAATTTTGTAAGCAGAAATTGAGACTTGTTCTTACACCTGCACGGGAGACTACAGCAGGTGTTGCTACCAGCATGGACTGTTACCGAAGTCCAGATGAAAAGGTAGTTTACATGAGAATAGGTGGTTTGTTTTAAATATCTTGAAGTAATACGTGGCAGTACATCTAGGATTCCATCTTTGTTCCAGAGCCACGTGTGAACTGATCAGATTTCATTTTCATAAAATCCTGGCTTATTCTGTGGCTCACTGGTTATTAATATTAAAACAAATGGTACCACGTGTGGTCCTGCACATGCATTATTAAAAGCACCAGCAACCTAGGGCTACCAAGCACCCAGGCATGGTTTACTTCCACTGTGTCTTAGGGCAACTCCTCTGCATGGCCTTTACCCATTCTGGTACCAGCTGCCTACCTGTCTTAGCCATTAGTTGTCACCAGTTCTCCATATTCAACTGGGAGAGGTTTCTCTCTGAGCAAGTTGTTATGATTATGAAATTTTCCTGTGTTAGAAGGGATAGGAGTGAAGATGCTTCCACATACTCTAAGCCCACATAATTTCTATTGTCCACATAACATACCATCCCCTGAAGCTACATCCCCTACTCACTGCTGACATTGAGTATTCATCCAGATTTGAAGCTGCAAGGTATAATTTAGTACGTAGTTTTGCATCCGGGCATTGTAAACTGACTTTTCTCTCATCACTACGCCTAAAAGCAGCCACTTTGCTTACCAACTCCAACAGAGGTTTTTTACTCAAATTGGAACAGTTGAAATCAAACATACAATCACTTAATACTCGTGATCTGTTGTTGGGAGAAAATGCTTTTCTTCTGCCCAGAACTTCTAATGCCTGTTGTTCCTGCTTGGGAAGTGCAGAAAACAAGCAGAGAAATACAAAGTTATTTTATATAGATGTAAACCTTTTTTTCCAGTCAGTTCCATTATTGAGTCAGCTATCTATGTGCACTGCCAAAAGAAGTAATGGGAAGTGTCTACCTAGGACAAAGAGAGCACAGATCAACAGGACAGAAAATTGAGTCTCTTTTGAGCCACAATCAAAATCAATGCCATCAGTGATGGACAACGTGACAGGGCTCACTGCAGATTTGCCCATTCCCCATACCGTACAGACAGTGTCTATGTTGCATGACTGCTTTGCAGCCCTTTTTCCTTTAATCCAAATAGTGTCAGCCTTCAGCCTGCTTTTCAGGGTATCTGTCCGGCTGCAGACACTACTGCATTGATTCCCATCTGGTGCATGTTTTTAGAGTTTTCTACACAACCTTAAGGATTAACTGCCTTTTTTTTTTTTCTTTTTTTTTTTTTTTTCCCCACAGAAATTTAGATTCTGAAGCCCACTGAAGAAAACAATCACTGCAAAGAAGTACCAAATCTCTTGCAAACTCTCCCCTGATCACTGCATTCAAAGATCTACCAGCAGCTGTTGATGTAACGTTATGGATGTTTAGCAGGACTTCCTGTATCTAATGAACATAGCTCTTTCAGTGAGGAGACAAAGTGCAATGCTGTCCCAGGAAAATAAAAACGATGTAACATTCAGTCAGGAATGCACTTACTACACGGCCTGGAATCAGGAATTGATCTCATGCCTCTGTAACAAAGATCCCATCTGTAGTCCCATGCGGGGAGGGCACTGACACTGCTTCAGAAGGGAAGTGGTTATCCTGCTCCCAAAAGGAACTGATTAGGGGAGATGTTCCAGAAGCTATTCGATACAGACTGCACAATTCAGGATGGTATTTATACAGTGAGTCAAAAAACTACACAGTATTCTCAAATATTTTATGTCCAACAGTGCCAACAGCTTTGTCAACTGACAGTGAAAATTAAACTTTAAGAGAAATGAGGCGTATAAGTGTTTTTAAAACCTTGCTCCTTATTTGTGCCTTTCTGCACAGAGGATGTGCCCAGGGATATGGGAAGCAAAATACAAAGTTGTGAGGTGGTGTTGGAAACAAGGACGAGGCAACACAGGCAGCTTGTAAGAAAGGCTTTCAGCATCTTTTGTCAAATATCCAACTTGTGGAAACTGTGCAAGCAAGGGAGTTTTGCTTCATCAATACTATAAAATAAACTGAAGTTAAAATGGGTGCTGCCCAATGCAATTGTCAAACATTGCTGCCGCAATACAAAGACAAATGTTTATTGGCTTAACTTTGAAACTGCAGTAAATGCTCTTCTATTCAATTAGATAAACAAATAAAGTACTGAGTGTATAATGGGGTTCTTTCAAGTAAATTATGCTTCCTAACTCATGTGTAAAAGAAAAATGACTTCTAATGTTTATATTACTGCAAAATAAGAAACCATCAAGGCTCTCCTTCTGTTATATTCCAAATATATATTTAAAAAAAAAAAAAAAAAAAAAAAAAAAAGAGGTTTAAATGATGTCCATTTTATGACGTGAGCAAAGGAATAAAATAAAGCCAGGCTGACATTGCAGCTTTTCTTCTCGCTGTTACCAGAGAGAGAAGAAAAAGTAATTCTTAGTTCTGTTCTCATTTACAGTAGCACAAATCTCCAGGAACTGCACTGACTTCAGTTGGTTATTTTGGATTTATGGCAGACTGAGAGAGATTAGAATTTGGTCACACATGAATGAAGAACAGAACGTCCACTTTTGCTGTAAATGTATTTTCCTTTCTTAGGTACACAAAAGAGCAGTGCTGTCCTTAGCTCATGTGCTGTGGGTTTACCTGACAACTGAGAGATATTTATCCTGGTACTGAGTGGGATGCTGCAGGGAACTATGTGCTTTGTCACCTTTGCCAGCAAATATTTCCATTTTATGGCCATAAAGAACCACATTCTCTACAGGATAAGGGCGTTAGAGAAAAGGCTAAATGCATACATACAGCATTATGCGTCCAGTGATGAGAACCACCTGTTTATGAGTCTGTTCTATTGTTTCTGCCAAAGATTGGCTCTAAGTCACAGCAATCTCTCATGCAGATATATTTGCATACATTGACTGCGTTTCTTTAAAATACCAAGCAGAAATCTGTAGTAGTTATTGTCAAGCACTCTAGTTAAAACAATCTATAATTCCTGATCCTGATGAAGGACGGCATTTTATTCACTCAGCTTACCCAGTTATGAGAGTCTAAGATCTAAACTCAGCAACTAAAAAATATAACAAACAGCTCTCTGTGGATTTAGAACCAATGATATCCCCTGTATAGCTTCAGATCTCAGTGTCCCCAGTGACTTATTCAGCATGTGGCCAAACAGTGACTTTGCATTGTCTTGACACCTCCCAGTTTGCAATACTCATGCCTCCTTCCATTCTGCAGGCTTTCTAACAAAGAGTCTGCAGGCAAGGAAGAGGCATTAAGAGAGGGAGCATGGCAAAAGAAAGGTGAAAATAGACTGTGTCAGGAGATCAGCAGAGATTAGGGATGGATATCTATGGGCTTGCTTTTGCTGTGGGCATGCTAATGCCCAAATCTCCAATTGAAATGCACTGGTTACATTTTCTGTGGCCTCTAAGGCCATACTACAGAATAACAAATCCAAATGATTCACAAATTAAAAACGTGGAGCTCTTCTTCAATTTTTGTGCATTTGCTTTTGGTTGTTTTTGTGCTGAATTAGAACTAAAGAACTGCTATTGTCTAAATGCACAACATTTATTACGAAAAAAAACAACAACAAATGCTGCCAGGATTTCAAAGTCAAGCACTCAAAAGCTAGGAAATGTCAATGCCAACAGTTTTGAGGGTCCAATTTAAAATGCCTCGGATTTAATTTTTCAGAACCTTCTTATACAGCCCTTCATACGACCAGTGGACCGGTCTCCAACTTCTCAGTGAGCTCTCAACAACAGTTCAGCTCAGCTGCTTCCAGGTTCATTGCTAAGCCACCCGAACTCAATCAGCTTGACCCCTGTTTGTTTCCTGACTTTGAGTTGTGCACCTAACTCCTGCTTCCCACCTCCTCCACTGCTGTGGTGCTCTCCTTTCTGTGTCGTCCTTCAAGCACTCATTCTCCTTGATGAAAGGTGCACTCCCTTGAATTAGGTTGTGCAGAGCTTAGCCCGTCCTTCCTCAGAGCCCTCCTCCAGCTTGCTTCTAACCACAAGAATCTCTTAAAAGCATCCAGGCTGTTTTTTCTGTTTTGATACTGATGAGTACAATAAACTTGTGGATTCCTAAGCACTACTGCAATACAAATAAATATGAAAATAATATTGCTTGCTTAATGAAGAAGAGGCAGGAAAATGGCCAGTTGTGGCTTCTTACCATTCTATCTCATAAATCAGATATATACTTATACTGAAATATGTCAAAATTAAAGCCAGGTACTTGCTCCCTACATCTGGTAGAAAACAACTCTCCAACTATATTTTTCTCCTTTGGAACATCTGAATTTACTGGACAGAAACGTTTCATAGAGACAAGTATTCAATTAAATTCCTCTGGAAAACATGCAAGCTTCCCTTGGAGCAGCGCCAGCCCCCGGCTTCTGAGCAGCCCAGCTGGTAGTCTCCTGAGGAGCAGGGCTTCCAGCTCCCACAGCTTCAACAAATCTTGCTAGGCAAACTGCCTGAAGATAAAGACCCACAGGCTTTTACTGCCTGCAGCCCAAGGCAGGCTACCAGGCTCAGTGTCATGGGGATTGAGATAGCCGGGTCATGGCTGGAGCCATGGCCAACACTCAAGCATTCAGCCAGTCGGGCTCCAGTCCTTTTTACAGACAATTTCAAACAACTGGAACATCAAGATTCCCTGAGAAATCAAAATACTTTTCTCCTTTCAGCTCTACTGCATACGTACTGGCCAAAGAAAAGCAGATTTCTTATTCCTTTGCCCTTCTTCAGCTGTTCCTTATTACTCTGCGTTAGTCTTGTTTGTTTCTTTGTATAAACTGGTTTGTAGCTCTTTAGGGAAATTCACTATTTTTCTACCTGTATTTCTAGCATAATGAGACCCAGATTGTAGCTGTGCATGGTACTGCAACACAGACAACAAGGTGTTATCGTTTTCTTTTTTTCCCTCATTAGAGAGGAGCTTATTGAAAAATCAAAGTCTTCCCTGTAATCATTCTCACTCTGCTAGCTGCAGGCAACATTTGTTGGATAGTAATTAAAATAATTAAAAAGCATCTGAATTTTGCATACATATTGTTTCTTATTTTTTCCACAGGCGATGTGTTTGTTCTTCCCCCAGCTGAAAAGCTAGAAATCAGAATTTACTTCCAATGTTCTCATCTCCTTCTCTCTGTTTTATACCATATTGCAACTTGTCATATTTTGTTATGAATACCTTATGAACTGCCTTATTGACATATTACCTACATATTTATGTGGAAGAGCTTTTTTTTCCTCCACTATTTTTAGAGATCAATATAATATGTCACGATACCTGCATCTATAATTGTACTGATATTTCAATCATATATTTTTTACATTATTTACAGTACTTAGTACAGCCCAAGGCATTGTATGAGCCCTTCATTTCCCTGGGCAGATGGCTAAATTCCAGCTCTTCTGAAAAATGACACTATTCTAGTTGAAACAGGTGAGCTTTTCACTATACCCACAAGACAGTACTTGGCTTTGCAAAGTAAAGATGGTCATTTCTCACTCAAAGACACTCAGTTTGATTTTCTCAAAACAAGCAGGAGCCAATGAAAAGATCTAAGGGAAACAAACCAAAATATTCCCATAACCCAGAGTGGTGCACACCAGCAATACCACACACCGTTCCTGTCTCGCTCATGCTGTCAATCCTTATGAACCAAATTCTGCAAACCCATACACGAATAATTACTCTGAGTCCTTCTGACTGAAGCTATTCATGTGATTAAAGCAACCCTGAACCAACTGATGGTAAATAAAATTGTTGGAACATACTGTTACATACCGTAGTGTGGACCTCTGATTTTATATTTAGTAATGTAAATGTAAATCACTTAAAACAACACCAAAAATAAGTCCCTCAGATAAGTTACTATTAAAATAAAATAAAAATTTCTCTAGGGCTCCATTTAAAATGCCAGAAGAATTGCATAAGCACGATCCTGACTTTCATGAATGTAACCAGGGTGGTTATACCCCAGAACTGAGTAATAATTAAAAGCGAGATATTGGCAGCTTCAGGCTTGCTTTTTTGCAGGAGCCCAGGGGGTAAACTTTAAAGGCAAACTTCAGAACAGCCACTTCATTATAGAAAGAACCTGCACCTTATCCCCAGAGAGGCACTCATAACATCTCTGAGGCAACGCAAGGATGGCCCACGTGCAGAGGACATGCTTTCATGCTGCCACCCATATGGATTTCTAACATGAAATCACACTGGATTTTGGATCTTTTACCCATCTTTTGGCAGCTCTGCTGGCTTCCTTTTGCCCATCACTGGGGATTTAGGTTATGTGTTCCCCTGACATCAAAGCCTCGTTACTAAATTCGCGGCATCTCCTCAGCACAGGACCTGTGCTTAGCAGCTCACAAATGATAGATTTGGTGTAGTTTACATTTCCTTGCTTTTTTCCTGTAACCATGATGAAACAACTTTTAAAAATGAAAGCTGAGAATGGCAAGTGAGTGAGCCTCTAACTGCTGAGCCTTTCATACTTGCAGTATCTTAATAACTAGAGTACTCACACACATAAAAAAAAGCCACGAGAGAACAATGATATCCTGCAATATCTGGAGATAAGGAAAGGTCTGGACTCGGTGATTTTGTTCATGAGCAACGGTATGCCAAGGAGCAAAGGTAAGCCTGGTGAAGACAGACTGAATTTAAAAACATGCACACACACAGAAATCACTGCACGAAATGCGCTGCCTAACTGTGCATGAACGCACCCAGCAGTCAGGCACTTTGCTAAGCTTCAGCAGGGACACTCCTCTCTGCACATGGAAAACAGTGGGGCTGCAGCAGCAAACTTGCGGAGGAAGCATTCCCAGTTGTGTCCTAAAGTAAACAGCATAAAACAAGCTAATAGGGATACAACTCAACCCTCTGCAAAGTACATACCCACAGAGCGTGCGTCTATGTGTGTTTCAGGGGAAGGAAAGGTCTGCAAAGAAAACTGAAGCTCAAGGAAATTTTTTTAAAACACCAAAAAATTGTTTGGAAATCTTGCTGGTAGTTAAGAGTTACATAAAACATCTATATTTTAGTAACTTACAACAGGATACAAGCAGGTCCAGGTCACCACTCATGACAACATTACATATGATATTTAGAGTCATAGAACCCCTAGAGTTGTAAGGGACCTTTAATGGTCATCTAATCCAACTCCCCAGCAATGAACATGGGCATGCACAGCTAGATCAGGTTGCCCAGGTCCTGATCCAGCCTTGCCTTCGAAGTCTCCAAAAAGACATAACACAGAAATCCTTTTTGAGGAAGAAAAAGCAATAGACGTGCTGCCATGAAAGGCAACCTGTTATTCTGATGCCTTCTTGTTTTTTGGGAGTCAAATTAACAGTAACACTTAGGAAGGAAGATGTGATGGAACAAGGCAATTGGTTTTGGAAGCACATTATTTGTATCTATTTCAATTAGGAGTGTAGTGGTAAAAATGGATAGTGATCTGCAAAGAAACTGCGATAGCAAAGAGTCATCCGGGATGTAAGAAGTGTGGGAACTGATGATCTAGTGACAATATCACATAAATGAAAACGTTATTTATGGAGAATTGCTAATTGAAACCAAAGGACTTTGCAAGCAGTTAAACATCTGCCTAAGCTTAAGTATCAGAACCATCTCTGTAAGTAATAGACACGAACACAGCACTTGATTACCTTGGAATTATGAATGCCCATTTTCACATTTCAGGAGGAATGAAACCACCTTAAAATAGGAACTGCTTTGAAACAGGAACAGACATGTGGACATGTCTAGTAACACACAACATGGTACAGAGATCTGCAAGCGGATAGTGAGCTGGAGTAATAAATCCATATGGGGCAGCACTGAGCAAATGCCTCCCAATGTTCTCTGGAATCAAGTTACTCCAGCAAAAGTGGTGAGGACATGGTGGGCACGTCTGCTCTGGTGGAACTTTGCACTGTGTGAACAGAGCTCTCCTGACCCCAGAGCCAAGCTGCCAAGCAGCATCTCTGCTTTTGCTGGGTGTAGTGAAGTGAGTGCAGTTACATCCAAGTCACAGTCACTGTGCTGCAGGCAAGCTACAAAAGTAGTGCAAGGAAACAAGAAAGCAGAAGTACACCTCTCTCACTCAACAGTAAGTTATTCCCCTTTGTCCATGGGAGCAGGTGGGAGCAGACGGACATTTCCTTCCCAGGATTGTTCTTGGTCTTGCTGCAAGCAGTATCTAGACATTAATTGTAACAAAATTCCTATCCAGCTGCTCAATACCAGTTTCACCACAGGGCATATTTTCCTATTTATTCTCTCACTCAGATCTCACCTGTAGCACTAAACTAGCTCCTCAAACTTACTGTTATGTCCTTAGTTCAGCTGTCTGCTCACAACACCATCTGATACAGAAGCCTACTTCCAATTACAACTGCAGGTACATTAGCAAGACCAGGTCTGTGACACGGGCAACCCCAAAAGCTTCCCACCTAAGAATAAGAATGGAATATGCAATTCATCACATGCTATGACACATTCCCAAAAACATACGCACACTCAAAACCTCAAAGTAGTGTCAGAATGTTTATTGAAGAGGGCAATCTAACTGGCTGAGCCGACCTGGTACCCGGTAACTTTTAACATAAGCAAACAGAGATACTGTAAACTTGCTGTGCACGGAAACTGTGTTTATACTTAAGTTGGTCTTGGAAGAGTTAAAATAATTTAATAGCAAAATATAGCTTAAGTTCCCAGGAGCTCTGAATGACCTCAAGATCACTGTGAGAAAAACAGAAATACGGGGATACATCCAGTGATGCAAACAGTCACACCAATACTTTCAAATAGTCAGCTAATAAAATACGTTCAGCTGCCTACTTGTCATGAAAGTTTTACAAATATTTCTCTTAAAAGACACTACTTTTTGGTTCCACAAAACACACAATTTTGTCACTTGCATTATCAGAGCTGACAACAGGCGTTCTGCAATGTGAGCGCTGGCCTCACTTCTCACTGAGCTCTGTAATTGCTAGCTATCTTTTTTTTAGCCATATTGTTAACCACCACATTAAGGGATAATAAGCTTATTAATGATGCAGGGGGAAAGATTAGAAAAGAAAAAAAAAAAAAGGGATGGGAAGAATAGCAAGTTATTCTCAGCATAGTCCATGTATCATAAAATAATTTGATTTTTATGGAAAATAAAGCAGCCATACGCTGGAAAGGAGGTGATGAGGTCACCACCTCGGAGGTGTTCAAGAACTGTGGAGGTGTAGCACTGAGTGACACAGCAGTGGGCATGGGTGGGGTGGGATGGGGTTGGACTGGATGATCTTAGCGGTCTTTTCCAACCTTAATGATTCTACGAGCCACCCCTGGCGCAACTTGATGTCATTACCTGTCATCCTCTCAGTTACCTGGGAAAAGGGGCTGACTCTCACCTCACTACACTCCTTTCACAGAGCTGCACAGAGCCATCAGGTCTCCCCCGAGCAAGGCACGCAGGCAGATGGGACCATCCTTTAACACCCAGGTCCTCATCTGGCAGAGCTGAACACGCAGCCAGGATCAGGATGCAATTCAGACAAAACTCAGCACTGACTTCACATCTCTGGTTTCAGCTTAGAGCTGGAGCACAGCACTGACGTTCACGTGTAGAAACAGCTGACAGACAGCAAACGTTCGCCTTCGAGAAAGCAGCCTCACACACAGGTGTTTCTGCACAGGGTAAACCTACGGAGGCCCCTTCGTGCCGCTGCCTCGCTCCCTTTTTGGGGAGAAAGCCGGCATTTCAGCCCCTCTCAGAGAAGGCAGGCGCCGCGTCCCTGCGTCACAGCTGCTGAACGAACGGAGCTGCGGCCCCAGGCTGTGCCCGCACCCAGGCCCTGCCTCGCCCGGCCCGCAGCGGCTGCGCGCGCCTCTGCCCTTCCTCCTCTTCCTCTTCCTCCTGGCGGCTGCCGCCCTCAGCGGGATGGACGCCATTGAGGAGCTGGCGCTCCAACCCTGCACGTCCTCTCTCTACCTGCGGCCTTTCCGCCTCACCTACCGGCAGGTGAGCGAGCGAGGGAGGGAGCGAATACCGGCTAGCGGCTCTCCCGCCCAGCGTCTTCCCCCACGTCCCTCCGCCCCTTCCCTCCGTCGAAGCCGGCAGCTGACGAAAGGGGCGGGAGGCCGCGGGGAAGGGCAGGCGGGCGGCGGGTCCCTCCGCTGTCCCGCACCCCTCCCAGCGCCGCGCCCGCCATCTTGCCGGCGTCGCAGTGCAAGGGAGGTTGCGCGGGGCTCGGCCTGCAGCCAAGCTGGTTTCTTTTCAGTGTTGTTTTATATTTTTATATGTGGTTTTCCTAAAGAATCACAGAATCAGAGATGTTGGAAGAGACCTCTGGGGATCATCTAGCCCAGCCTTTACTAAGGCAGGTTCCCCACAGCAGGTTACTCTGCTCGTTGGTTGGGATAATTAAATTGATTTGCAAAGAGCTGTAAGCTTGACACTGAATTAGTTATTTCTCTTTAGGATATTGGAAGGAAACTTGAAGAATGTTCTTTCATACTCTGAATTTTTGCTGGGTTAGTGTGTAAATAGCACTTAGCAGTTTTATTTTCATTTCTGAGTCATGTTGTATTTACTTAGAAAATGGGATTCAATTAAAATGTATGAAACTATTACAAAATTACATTTAATTGAGTACAAGTGCCTCAGACGGGTTTCTCAACGCATGTTGAGAAACAGAGTGTTTGTTCACATGCTGTGGTTTGAGAAGGGATGGCACTGCCACCAAAAGAAGTACACTTGCATTTTCTGCTGTCCTGCTGCTTCACTTTCTCTCTCCTCCTTTTACAAGGCTCTGTGCAGCTGGGTCAGGGATCTGCTCCAAGTCAGGCCTAATTGGTCGGAAAGGAAATAATTTTTGACCTCAACCAGGTCTTTGATTCAAGTGTTTATGCTAGCAAAGGAGAGGTGATAATCTGGTGGTTAGGGATGGATGTTTGGGGGCTGATTGAGGGTAGAGATTGTTTCTGTTGGCCTCAGCACTATCCTAAAATGAAGGTGGATGATGAGGGTTTATATGGTATTTGTACAAAATCTAGCTTGGACCCAGCCTCCTAAGAGCATATGCTGAACAACACGCAGCTGCCCGCACCTGACCTGGGAGACGTGCCCTAAGTTTATTAAAAGCACAATTTTTCATGTAAAAACTGACTTACTAACCAAAGAAAAATGCTGGATATTTTTAGTCATTTGGCTAATTGTTTAAAAGGTGTTTAGGCCTGCTGAAAACCTCAGGAAATGCGTAAACACTTAAGTGTCTAAAATCTGAAAAGTCTTTTTGAACAAGTGGAATCATCTAAATGAAGAAAGTTTAAATAATAGCATTTGTTACACTAGGAAAACTGAAACTGTTTGCATACTTAGTTAATGAAATGCATGGGATCTCGCTGTAATTGGAAGGCTTGAAGTGGTCTTTCAGATATTGTTTCACAAAATGTGATGTGTCCTCTAAAATTCATTGTTGTCTGAAGAAGATTTACTGATGCATATTTTTATGTTTGTTTAATTCTGTTGAAGGATACTTTTGTCCTTATAGATTGTCATTTTGTGGATGCCCCAGCCCTGGAGGTGTTTAAGGCCAGGCTGGATGTGGCTCTGGGCAGCCTGATCTAGCGGTTGGTGACACTGCCCATAGCAGGGGGGTAGAAATCAGATGGTCTTTGAGGTCCTTTTTGAGGTCCTTTTCAACCCAGGCCATTCTATGATTCTATGATTTTAAAGTCCATTATTGTTACAAACAATATGTCACTTTATTTCCAAACATCCAAGAACAATTAAGCCATGGATTCTTACATACTTCGTCTACAAATTGCACTACTTACGTGGAGATAATTTTGATCCCATCACTATGGCTAAAACAATGAGCTCTTCAGCGGTTAAATATAAATTTAGATACGGATGATTTGTATCACAGTTTATCCTCCAAGTCTGTTTATATCCATTAAACGTGCATCCCGCTGAGCTGTAAACTACCATTGCTGCAGTGAGTTTGCAGACTGCCAGAAATGTGCAGGGTACCAGAAGGTGATCCATAGGGGGGTTAAATAAGAAATGGTGAGGGGGTAAGGCTGTTAGCTTCTATCGGTTACCAATGCTGAAGGTGATTGTGTCAAACCTCATCAAGTGGAACCAAAGACTTGGAAGGCTTCTGTATGTGCAGAGTGCTCCTGAGCAGCAGGCAGAACTGTAGGCCAGAAGATTGGGTATTTCATCCAGCTCAGTGTTTTGCTGAGTATCGGGGTGCTCAGACAAGGATCTGTGGACGCATGCAGGAACAGAGTTGTGTGTACTTTGAATCAAGTCTGGTGGTTCCTTTCATGTTAAACACAGCTTGTTAGGTTTGTGCTCAGGTCTTCAGTTTGCCTGTGTTCTGAAAGCTTGGATTTGTTCCATGTTTATATAATGCAAAAGTAGAAACAGAAGCGCAGCGAAGGAGTCATAGAAATCAGCAAACTGTAGGCAGATTTGGATAGGCCCAATGCAGAGGGCTGTCTTTAAAACCGTGATTCGAAATAAAAATCTACGGCGCCTTGGAGTGGACTTCACTTTCTAGATGGGATTTTCAGCCTAAACTTTGTCCTCACTCACATACAGGATAGCATCTGGCTGTTATTAGTGTGTACTTGCCCCCATAGTGCAAACTGATTTGTTGTCTAAAGAGGCTCCTTTTTAAAACATATATCACCTACAGAATTTGCTTCTCTACCAGGAACTGCGTGGTAAATCTCTTTTCACTTTTTCCTATTGAAGTCTTTTTTTGCTTTTCATAAATAATTTATTCAAGAGACCAGAGGGATAGCTAATGAGAGATTAACTCTATGCCCAAGGGCTAGGGCATTTCCCTGGGATGTGGTAGAGTCAGGCTGCAAGATCTTGCTTCAATTAATATTGCTTCCCACATCACAGGAGAGTGCTCTCACTGCTGGGAAACACATTTGTGTGTAAATCTTCAGCCCTCTTTTGTGTATGTTAGCCAGGCACCGGCCTCTATGCTAGACAGACAAAAAATAAAAAATAATAATAGAAATAGAATAGAAAATGAAGGTTACAAAGCCTGCTGAGGCTGAGCAGAGTTGTGAGGATTTGGGGCAGCTTTAGGTACCTAAATGGAAATCTACGTTCTCTGTGTTCTTAATAACAGTTGCATGGGATTTCAGTTGTTCTTAATGTTAGGTTTGGACCGTAATATAGGGTTTTGACAGGCAGAGCTCTGGCGAATCTTCCTGTAGTAATATGTTAGTGCATGCATTTGTTTGTCTGCAGTACTGGTAATTACCCTGTGAGAATTAGCAGAAGCAAAAGTATTTTTGCTCCAGCTCTCACTCTGCTGTTCCAGTTCAAACCTACCTTTGTTAGCCTTTTAACTAAATTAGCTCCACACAGGAGTAAGTGACTTGGCATGTTCTTTTTGGTGACCTCTGAGCTGGGAAGTGTCCTTCCATGGCAGGCAGAGCATGAGAAGCGTTTAGATGGAGGAGTAACAGCTTGAGCACCTATGGGAACTTTTGCCCAGAGCTCACATAAAAAGGTTTTGTGGATCTAGCCCAGACTTCTGTAGCTTTGTTTTTGAAGGTTGTTCTGGCAAGGGAGTTCTTGCCACGGTTTCCTTGCATTGTATAAACATATGCATTCATTCTGCCCAGGAACTTTAAGAAGTTTGTTACTAGACTAATTTCAACTGCCATTAATTTTCCTAGTATGCATGTGAGTGAGGCTGTATTCCAAAACTGTGGAATGGTGAATGGGCATCTATTTCCCTTATGTGGGATAAACCTGAAAAACTGTGCATCTCAATTTCAGGATATGATCAGTCATGGTAAGCTGGATCTCTTTGCTCTTCTGTGAGCTTCACATCCCTTCCACAGTTCAGAGTAGTTTTGCTCATGTTTCTTCCCAATGTAATGTTTAAAATAGTTTATTTTGAAATTAGGCATGTGAAAAATGCTCCTTTTAATTGAATTTTAAGGTGTGATGCTTTCATTCTGTGTTAAGGGAATTAAATTATAATCTCTTGAAGTTTTACAGTCTTTCTAAAGTAGTTTTCAATACTACTGTGGATTTTAACACACGATGAACTTTATAATGGATGGAAAACATACCTCAGGGGTAGCATACAATTCACTAATGAATAAGGCATTTCTTATTTCTAATCTTAGGTTTGATATTGCTTTCTTTTGGGGCTACGAGCTACCACTGCTTCTGTGTCTTTACAGTTTAACTGCCTCAGAGATGTCAAGAAGATTAAGACCCCGATTCTATGATAAGCTGTGTGCATGCAGAGCAGAAGCTAGGCCTGTATCATTTATGTCATGCAAACTTTGAAGATGAAAAGAGCAAAGCTGTGCAGTGTTAAAATAATAATAACAATCTGATTTTACACTTAAAAAAAAAATGGTTTATATGGTAATAGCAACATGAATGTGCCCAGCTGCCTGAAATATTCTCTGGAACTTCCGTCTGCTTCTTTATAAACATAAAACATTCTTTTTGTATTTTGACAGTTAAAAATGATGCTGTTGAGGGAGTAAACAGATTTTTAAGTTACCTGTTCAAACAAGTAAGTCTTCTCTTGAATCTTCAGAAGGCTCCAAGCAGTAGGAAATATGCTACTTGGTAATACATTTATTTTGCACTTCATTTTTTTTCTTTAAAATGGTGCAATAAAAGGAGATGCTGTTTTCACTGCAAAATTTGTTTCATTTTCTTCAATTTGACTAGTCTGTTATGTCAGTCCATAACATAATCTTAAAAGCAAGCTTGCTGCTGCTAGCTGAGGAAGTCTCTGAGATGCAAATTGCAGAAAGCTGGGAATGTGTTAACACTATATTCTTCTTCAGGCATCCGGGATCCTGGATGAGATAGATTTTTGATCTGCTGTTGCTGTATTGACTGGGAAATTATGGCTGGAGTGCAACATGATTCTTTTGTATGAGTGGAAGAATGGAAGCGTGAAAGTTTCACAAGAACAATGTTAGGGAGTTGAGCATGGAGGGAACAGTTTCCTT